AGGCCTCCAAGATGGCCCCAGAACGGCCCAAGAGGCCCCCAAGACGACCCCAAGAGGCCCCCAAGACGACCAAGGAGGCTTTTAAGACGCCCAAGATGGCCTCCAACACGGCCCTGGAGCATTCCAAGAGGGCCCCAAGTCGGCTCAGAGAGGCCTCCCAAACGGCTTCCGACGGCGTTGGACGGGCGTGGGGCCCACCAAGACGGCCGAAGATGGCTTGAAGATGGCCGAAGACGGCCCAAGAGGCCTCCAAGAGGGCCTCCAGGAAGGCCCGAAAAGGCCAAAATCATTGATTTCCCATGAGTTATTTGAAGGATTGTTGCATAGGTTGTTTGTTCTGCCCAAGTGCCCAGTGCCCAAGACGGCCGAAGTGCCCAGTACCCAAGACGGCCCGAGACGGCCCAAGTGCCCCAAAAGATCGCCCAAGAGGCCCAAGACGGCCCCAAGAGGCCCCCAAGACGGCCGAAGAGGCCTCCAACACGCTCAAGATGGCCTCCAAGACGGCCCAAGAGCCCTCCAAGACGTCCTGCAAGAAGGCTCGAAAGGGTCACAATGGCCTCCAGGCGGCCAAGATGACCTTCAAGATGCCCACGTGTTCCCCGAAGGCTTTCCAAACCGATTCGGGAAGCACATGGTCCTATAGCTTGGCAGGTCTGGCCTCAACGTTCGGCCACATAGGCGCTTCCACAAAGGCAGGGGGCGGCGGTGATTCGCCGTAGGCGTCTTCGACAGACTTAGGTCGGGCATGTTCCCCTGTAGGCGGATGTTGGGCGATTTTGTTAGTCAAAAAATACCCCAAAATAGTCAGTCGAAAAATCGTCTCCAGACAACTTTTTCGTCATCTTTTGATATTCCTCCTGTAGAGGGACGTGCACGACTTAACGATAGAATTTCGGCGGTGGTCAAACCTCCCTCTAGTAAACATCCCCCTAATGAAAACGGCCTGGGACCGAAACCGACGGACCTAAACCCGCAAGAATGACAGCCGCGACGCCCTCTCGCGAACCGAAAACGGCCAATCCCTTAATCGACGTGACAGAATAGGAGGTCTGTCCACCCCCGAGGTCTAAGCATAAACTGCTGGAGGTCCGCACGGATTTCTTGAGTCGGCCCTGGAGCATCCTCCCCACGCCCTCCCTGGCGCGCGGAGCGCGCAGGAATGGCGCGGAAGCCCCCCCCCTCCTCCTCCTCCTCCTCCTCCTCCTCCTCCTCCTCCTCCCTCCTCCTCCTCCTCCTCCTCCTCCTCCTCCTCCTCCTCCTCCTCCTCCTCCTTCTCCTCCCCCTCCTCCTCCTCTTCCGCCTCCCCCTCCTCCTCCCCGAAGAACCCCCCCTGACCCCCCACCCATTGGCGGCGAGTCTGGGGGGGAAGTGCGAAGGGGCGGGCCTTCTCAAAGGGCTCGGAAGGCCTCCGGCCTCCTGGGAAGTTTTGTTCGAAGCCTTCTCCGAAGACGCAGGAAACCTCTAAGAAGGCCGGAGGCCTTCTGAGAAGCCCTGCCACCTTCTGACAAGGATGTATCCTTCTCATTCCCTCCCCTCGCTCGCCGCCGAACCTCAAATAGGATGAGAATGATATCGTGATGCGATTGGCTTTGGGCACGTCTCAGGAATCGCATCTAGCCGCACTCGTTGTGCAGCCCGTGTGGGACGTCAGGTGATCTTAGAAATCCAAGAAATCCTCAAACTTCTGACGCTTTGGCATTACAGACGCTTATCTTGACATGGTTGCCAACATTTACAGCAATCGTGCTTTTGAGAGAAGGGAGAAGTTTGGGAACTCTGGCATCCAGTCGCAGGGGTCGGGCATCGTGCAGGGGTGCCCGCTCAGCCCACTCCTCTTCATCATCATGCTCTCGGTCCTCATGACAGACGTCGAGCACGACGTGCACAGAGAGTTCGGGCCACTTCCCAATGGAAATGCTTGCCTTGATGTTGCCTACGCCGACGACACGGCGCTGATCTCCGACGACGTCAACCGGGTGCCAGGTTTTCTGACCTGCCTCATCCGCAGAGCAAAACCTTCTGGTCTGGAACCGAATTGGGAAAAAGACCGCGCACCTTCGAGTGAAGCACACACAGGACGTGCTCACGACAGGAGGGGCGCCCATCTAAGTCGAGACATCAGCAGTGTACCTGGGCAGCCTCCTGCCCGCCGACGGCCGCGCAGGCACAGCCGTTGCTGGGAGAATTGGCGAAGCCTGGGCAGCATTCGACAAGCTCCAGATGGTGTGGCGGCACGCAAACATCACACGGAAGCGGAAGCTCGCTCTCTTCGACTCGTGCGTCATCTCCAAACTCACATATTGTCTAGAGGCGACCTGTTTCAAAAAAGCTGACCCGGACAAGATAGACGCTTTCCAAGCAAGATGCTTTCGTAAGACTCTCAGCATCCCTCATTCTAGGACTTCTCACCTTTCCAGCGAGGAGGTCCAGAACAGGGCCAACACAGCACGTCTGAGCCAGCGCCTTCTTTTCCGACAGTTGCTGCTGTACGGCTAAATTCCTGCCTTGCCGAACACGGCGCTCCGGGCCACGCCGCTCCAGACAGCCGCCCTGGAAGCCGCCAGTCTGGGGGGCGCGACGCAGGCAAGGCCGCCCACGCCTGGCATGGGGCCCAGTTTGACGAGGCCTTGTGACACACACAAATAAATAGACACAAATTCGCTGGCCCAACGGGCCAGAGGCGTGCTAAGATCTCTGGTAACTGCTAAATAATACTTCTACTTCGCGCGCGCGGGGCGGCCCCTGGGGGTCCATGGACGAAAAGTACCCCGGGCGATCCCCGGCAGACTCGGGTCAGAGATGGTTTTCCTCCTGGGCGCCGCCCCCGTGGCCCTCCAGAGAGCCCCAATAAGGGCCACGAGGCCGCCAAGAGTCCTCCAAGATGGTTCACGAGTGCTCCGAGATGCCACACGATCGTTCCAAGACGCCCAAGATGGCCCCCAGACGCCCCAAAAGGCCTCCAAGAGCACTCCCCAGAGGGCCCCAAGAGGCAAAATTCATTACTTTTCCTTAGGTTTTGGGCAGATTTTGGCGTGTCCATCTTTTCGGCTTCCCGACGCCCCAAGACGGCCCAAGAGGCCCCCAAGATCGCCCCAAGAGGGCCCAAGAAGCTCCCAAGAAGGCCCCAAGATGGCCCAAGAGGGCTCCAAGACGGCCCCAGAGGCATCCAAGACGGCCCAAGAGGGGCCCAAGAGGGCCCCAAGCGATGCCCCAAAGGGGGAACACAAAACAAAACTTCGAGCCCTCGGCCTTAAGAAGCCCCCAGGAGGCCTCAAGAGGCCCCTGAGAGGCCCCGAAAGCCCCCAAGAGGCCCTCAGGAGGCCCCCAAGCGAAGCTGAAGAGGCCCCCCAGCGGCCCCAAGAGGCTCAGTCATGCGAAATGGGCCGGCGGAATGAGCGAAGCGATTCAAGAAAAGGATGCCCCATATTTTCCCATATTTCCTGAGTTTCTGTTGTCCCCCCCAATTCCAATATTTTCCCATATTTTCTGGGGGATCGACGAGTAAGTGTGTCTGTGTGTCTTTGCCCTCCTGACAGCTGTCAGGGCGCGCAGGCACGTGAAAATCATCGAGGGCGCAGCTCGGGCCCTCGCCGCCCCCTCTTTCGCCCTTCCCCCTCCCGCTGCCCTCCCTTCCTCCCCCCTGCGCCCGCCCCTTCGCCCGAGCCCGCGGTCCTCGGTCACTTTCTCGGCCCGGCAGGGTGCAAGGAAAAACAGTCTGGAGGGCACTCTGGTAGAGGAAAAACAATCAGTAAACACCCCCCCTGCCCCCCAAAATCAAAGTTGGCACGCGCGGGGGAGACTGCGGTCGAGGTGCAACTCATCAGACCCACCGCCAACTTTGAACATTGGGAGGAGGAGGAGGAGGAGGCGTTGACAGATGAATGTGGCATAAGTGTTCGCTATTTTTTCCGAGGCCTGTCGCCAAGCGACACATCTTTGCCACGTGAATGCTGCGACTGGAACCTTGCTTCTTCCTTTTCCGCGGCGGCAAGGACGGACGTCTCCTCGGCCGTCGCGCCAGCACTGCAGCCGATGTGTCGCACAGACACGGCGTTTCATATTCACACCCTTCTTACACGCTATCGCTTGAGGACGCTCAACCCCTGGGGAAACCAAAAGGTACCGATACCGCAACTCCCTGGACCTCTCCCCGGGTGCGCTCTGACCAGGATTTCGAGTCGAATCCGATGGTGGCGACTAGGGCCTTCCAGGAGGCCCCAAAAAAGGGGAAAGGTGGCGGTATGGGTACGTTTTCCTCCTCTGACACACTATCGCTCGAGGACGCTCAGCCCCATGGAGGGGCGGCGCACGCACTGCACGTTCGGGCAGGTCCAGTCGCCGGGCCTCTGGGCGGTCCTGCGGCGACGCGGCTCCGGGGCATGCAGGAGGGAGCCCACGCGCGCACACGTGCGCGTGCACGCAGCCGTGGCAACCGCCAGGTCGGATGCATGACGCACCTCCTCCTCCTCCTCCTCCTCCTCCTCCTACTCCTCCTCCTCCTCCTCCTCGTCTGCCTCCTCCTCCCTCTCTCCTCCCTCTCTCTTCCCTCTCTCCTCCCTCTCTCCTCCCTCTCTCCTCCCTCTCTCCTCCCTCTATCCTCCCTCTCTCCTCCCTCTCTCCTCCCTTTCCCCTCCTTCTCTTCTCCCTCTCTCCTCCCTCTCTCCTCTCCTCCCTCTCTCATCCCTCTCTCCTCCTTCTCTCCTCCCTCTCTCCTCCCTCTCTCCTCCCTCTCTCCTCCCCCTCTCCTCCCTCTCTCCTCCCTCTGTCCTCCATCTCTCCTCCCTCTTTCGTCCCCTCCTCCTCCTCCTCCTCCTCCTCCTTCTCATCATCATCATCAGCATCATCAGCATCACATCATCATCATCATCATCATCATCATCATCATCATCATCATCATCATCATCATCATCATCATCATCATCAGCATCATCATCATCATCATCATCATCATCATCATCATCATCATCATCATCCTCATCCTCATCCTCATCCTCATCCTCATCATCATCATCAGCATCATCATCATCATCATCAGCAGCATCATCAGCATCATCATCATCATCATCATCATCATCAGCATCAGCATCATCATCAGCATCATCATCATCATCATCATCAGCATCATCATTATCATCATCATCATCATCGTTCTCGTCCTCCTCATCCTCCTCCTCCTCCTCCTCTTCCTCCTCTTCCTCCTCCTCGTCCTCCTCCTCCTCCTCGGCGCCCTCGTCCTCGTCCTCTTCCTCCTTCTCCTCCTCCTCCTCCTCCTCCGCCTCCTCCTGCTCCTCCTCCTCCTCCTCCTCCTCCTCCTCGTCCTCCTCCCTCTCTCCTCCCTCTCTTCTCTCTCTTTCCTCCCCTTCTCCTCCCTCTCCCCTCCTTCTCTCCGCCCTCTCTCCTCCCTCTCTCCTCCCGCTCTCCTCCCTCACTCCTCCTTTTCTCTTCCGTTTCTCTTCCCTCTCTCCTCCCTCTGTCCTCCATCTCTCCTCCCTCTCTCCTCCTCTCTCTTCGTCTCTCCTCCCTCTCTCCTCCTCCTCCTCCTCCTCCTCCTCCTCCTCTCCTCCTCGTCCTCCTCCTCCTCCTCCTCCTATTCCTCCTCCTCCTTCTTCTCCTCCTCCTCCCCCTCCTCTTCTCCTCCTCCTCCTCGTCCTCCTCCTCCTCATCTGCTTCTTGCTACTAGTATGATTAGTATTCGTCTTCTTCTTATTAGTATTAGTAGTATGCTTCTTATTATTCGGCTTCTTCGTCGTCTGGTCGTTTTCGTCTTATTCGTCGTATGATTCCTCCTCTTCCTCTTCATCCTCCTCCTCTTCTCCTCCTCCTCCTCGTCCTCCTCCTCTTCCCCCTCCTCCCTCCTCCTCCTCCCTCCCTCCTCCTCCCTCCTCCGTCCCCTCCTCCCTGCTCCTCTCTTCCTGCTCCCTCTCCCTCCTCCCTCCTCCCTCCTCCTCCATCCTCCCTCCTCCCTCCAACCGCCTCCATCTCTCCTCCCTCTCCTCCCTCTCCTCCCTCTCTCCTCCCTCTATCCTCCCTCTCTCCTCCCTCTCTCCTCCCTCTCGCATCCCTCTCTCCTCCCTCTCCTCTCCTTTTCGCCTCTCCTTTTCTCCTCCCTCTCTCCTCCCATTCGTCTCTCCTCTTCTTGTCTCCTCCCTCTCTTGTCCTCCTCCTCCTCCCTCCTCTCCTCCCTCCTTCCTCCCTCTCTCCTCCCTCTCTCCTCCCTCCCTGCTCCCTCTCTCCTCTCTCTCTCCCTCCCTTTCCCATCCTTCTCTCCTCCTCCTCTCTCTCTCTCAGCTCCTCATTCTCCTCCCTCCCTCCTCATTGTTCTCCTCCCTCTCTCCTCCCCCCTCCTCCTCCCTCTCTCCTCCCTCCCTGCTCCCTCTCCTCCCTCTTTCAACCCTCTCCCCTCCTTTCTTCCTCCCTCTCGCCTCTCCTCTCTCCTCCCTCTTTAATCCCTCTCTCCTCCCTCTCTCCTCCGTTTCTTCTCCGTTTCTCCTCTCTCTCCTCCCTCTCCTCCCTCTCTCCTCCCTCTCTCCTCCCTCTCTCCTCCCTCTCTCCTCCCTCTCTCCTCCCGCTCACCTCCCGCTCTCCTCCCTCACTCCTCTCTCTCTCTCTCTCTCTCTCCTCATTATAGTTTCCCTCTCTCCTCCTTCTCTTCTCCCTCCCTCCTCCTCCTCCTCCTCCTCCTCCTCCTCCTCTCTCTCCTCCCTCTCCCTCTCTCCTCCCCCTCCTTCTCCTCTCCCCCTCCTCCTCCTCCTCCTCCTCCTGCTCCTCCTTTCCCTCCTCCTCCTCCCCTCCTTTTCCTCCTCCACCTCCTCCTCCTCCTCCTCCTCCTCCTCCTCCTCCTCCTCCTCCTCCTCCTCCTCTCCTCCTCCTCCTCCTCCTCCTCCTCCTCTCCTCCTCCTCCTCCTCCTCCTCGTCCCCCTCGTCCTCCTCCTCCCCCTCCTCGTCCCCTTCGTCCTCCTCATCGTCCTCCTCCTCCTCCTTCTCCTCCTCCTCCTCCTCCTCTTCATCCTCCTTTTCATCCTCCTCCTCGTCCTCCTCGTCTTCCTCCTCCTCCTCCTCCTCGTCCTGCTCCTCCTCCCCCTCCCTCACTCCTTTTCCTCATTGATAACTCCTCCCTGTCGCACCCCGAAACTAGGTTTTAGGGCGGGCCGGGCGTTTTGCCTAAGACTCCCTCACGACTCATGACTACGAAGCTAAAACAAGTGACAACAGGCTTCACAGATGGAGGGCAGGTCGCTTTCAAAATGTGGCTCTCGTCTTAGCCCGCACACGTTCGTTTTCAAACTTCTGAAGAGCTTAACGGATTGAGGGCGGCTCGTTTTCAAAATGTGGCTCTCGCCTTAACGCCGCGCACATTCGTTTTCAAAATGTATACGGGTTTCACGGATCGAGGGCGGGTGGTTTTCAAAATGTGGCTCTTGCCTTAGCGCCGCGCACACTCGACTTTTAACATTGCAAGGGCTTCACGGATTGGGGGCGGCTCTGTCTCAAAATGTGGTTCTCGCCTCAGCGCCGCGCACGTTCATTTTCAAAATTTGCAAGAGATTCACGGATTGAGGGCGGCTCTGTCTCAAAATGTGGCGCTCCTCTCCTCTCCGCGCCGCGCACATTCGCTTTCAAAATTCGCAAGAGATTCACGGATTGAGGGCGGCTCTTTTTCAAAACGTGGCTCTCGCCTTAGCGCCGCGTACATTCATTTTCAAATTTTGCAAGAGTTTCACGGATTGGGGGCGGCTCTTTTTCAAAATGTGGCTCTCGCCTTAGCGCCGCGCACATTCGGTTTCACAAATTGCAAGGTGTTTCCCTGGCTCCCATGATCAACGCACCAGAAATGATGTGTTGGAAGGACGAAGGACTCAGGACAATGCGGGCGCAACAGTTATGTTGATTCGCTGTGTTGGAGGCCCCGAGAAGGCGTTATGGCACGATTCTGGGTCGTCAAGACGCAGCAGTCATGCTGATACGTGGCGCTGAAATCCCGAGAACAATGTTCTGGCACGATTCAGAACTTCAAACTGTTGTCTTCCAGCGAAGCAGCTCCCTCGATGGAAATAAACCGTTGTAAGGAACTATGAAGAGGGAGTTTGGAGGGAGGGTTAATTCCAACATCGTTGATGACCCTTGGGTTTCCACCGGTCCCCCTCCTCCTCCTCCTCCACCCCCACCTCCTCCTCCTCCTCCTCCTCCTCCTCTTCCACCTCCTCTTCTTACTCCTCCTCCTCCTCCTCCTCCTCCTCCTCCTCCTCCTCCTCCTCCTCCTCCTCCTCCTCCTCCTCCTCCCCTCCCTCCTCTCCTCCTCCTCTCCTCCTCCTCCTCCCTCCTCTCCTCCCCCTCCTCCTCCTCCTCTTCCTTCTCCTCCTCCTCCTTCTCGTCCTTCTCTTATGGGTATGAATGCTCTTCTTCTTGTTATTCTCCGTATTCCCATTATTATTCGCATTCTTCGCATCAGCAGTATCATTGTTATTCGCATTCGCCTTCAGAGCATTATCATTTGTATTCGGATTCATTGTGTTATTATTTGTCGTCTGCTTGTTCGTGTTATTCTTACTCGTTTTCTTAATAGTATTCGTCTTATACTCTTATGATTGGTATCCTCCTCCTTCTTCTTATGAGTCGCCTTGTTCCTTTTCTTCCTCCTCCTCCTCCTCCCCCTCCTCCTCCTCCCCCTCCTCCTCCTCCTCCTCCTCGTCTGCCTCCTCCTCCTCCTCCTCCGCCTCCCCTCCTCTTCTCCTCCTCCTCCTCCTCCTCCGCCCCTCCTCCTCCCGCTCCGCATCTCTCCTCTGTCTTTCCTCCTCCTCCTCCTCCTCACCCTCCTCCTCCTCCTCCTCCTCCTCCTCCTCTCTCCTCCTCCGTCCTCCTCCGTCCTCCTCGTCCTCCTCCTCCTCCTCCTCCTCCTCCGTCCTCCTCGTCCTCCTCCTCCTCCTCCTCCTCCTCCTCCTCCTCCTCCTCCTCCTCCTCCTCCTCCTCCTCCTCCTCCTCCTCCTCACCACCACCACCACCCCACCACCACCACCACCACCACCATCATCATCATCATCATCATCATCATCATCATCATCCCCCTCCTCGTCGTCGTCCTCCTCCTCATCCTCCGCCTCCCCCTCCTCCTCCTCCTCCTCGTCCTGTTCCTCTTCCTCCTTAGTTTCCTCCTCTTTCTGCTTCCTATTAGTATTAGTGTGATGCTTCTTCTGTCTAATATTATTAGTAGTAGTGTTCTTCCTAGTCGCCTATGATGTTCATTATCGTGATTTGAGTATTGGCTTTATTGTTAATAGTACCAGTATTGTTATTCTTGGTATTAGTAATACTATCCGGGTGCTTATTCTTAGTATTGTTCTTATTTTTCTTAGAATTACTTGCATTCGTGTTATTATTGTTCTGAATAATATTATTATTCTTGGTATTTGCATTATTCGTGTTACTGATATTTTCTTGATAATATTATTCTTTATATTTATATTAGAGTTATGCTTATTATTATTCGTAAAATAAGCGTGCTTCTTCTTAGTGCCATGATTCGTATTGCTCATATCGTTATTATGTGTACGTGTATTATTATTATTATTATTAGTATTAATATTATTATTATTATCATCATTATTATTATTGTGCTTATGTTTCTTATTCTTCAAATCAGCATTATCCTTCTTCGCCTTCTCATGACTATTATTCGTATTATGCTGATTCCTCTTCGTATGATTATCCGTAAGAGTTTCGCCCGCTGCCGCCGGCCCACTGTCTCGGAGAATGCGCTATGCGAGAGTTATGTCGTGAGGCCTGGGCGCCGTCGTGAAACAGTATTGAGATGACGAGGCCGCAACCGACGGCCCGGCAGAGAGGCTTCAGACGGCGGCCCACCTTGAAATTTTGCCTGCGCGGCACTAATCAGCGCAGCCTTTTCTTTGCTGATGGCCAGAGGGCCTCCACTTGGAAACCTTCCGGCTTGGGCTGTGGCTGCTTGCCGATTGGCATGGTTGTGGTAATTTGCCTGCGCCCTGGCTCTGTTCTGCTTCGGTATTGGAGGCAGGTCCCTTGTCGCCGTCAATTTGCTCACCGCCGCGGCATCGACAGGGGCGCCAGGTATAGAGTCGCCCACGCCCGTGGCCGAGATCGAACCCCCCGGGCCTGCAGCAGGTAGTTTCGGTGCCCAGTCGCCTCGAGAAGCCGGGCCCGCCCGCGACTTGTCGGACCTTTTTTGGAACGGGGCGATCAGGCATAAGTGCCGAGCCACCTTCGAGGCGTTCAGCTCTTTTTTTAACGCTGCCATCGCCTTCAGCAGGGCCGCGATGACACTTCTTATTGTTTCTTTTCTCACCCCCCCTCCGAAATCGGCGACCAGGCCCACCCCTCGGCATGGGCGCAGCCTCTTCTAAGGAGCAGCGCGCCCCCGAGGCCCCCGGGCGCGCCCGCCCGCCCCCGCGCCCGGCATGCTCTCGCCCCGGGCGCGCGCGCCAGGTGGATCGGCAGGCGAAGCGGGCGCAAGGGGCCGCTCGCCCTGCACCCCCCGCGCTCCATCTTCTCGTCTGCGGCCCGGGTCGACGCGGGAGGGCGCGCAGGGGCCTCGACCCTAGAACTACCAATGATCTGACCTGTCGCGCTCAGCTCGCGACGGCGAAGGCTGCCGGGGGCACTGTCGCCACTGTCGTCAGCGGGGTCAGCCTCCGGACACCGGCGGCGCCAGTCCGCGCGGTAGATCTTGAAGACGCGAGCATCGTCCAAATACCCCCTTTTGTCCTCTACTGCTGAAGCAAACTTCCGCGTCAGTCACTGGGATGTAATCCTCAGCGGGCGCGGCGGACCTTCCGCCCACGCCATCATCGTGATCGGGGGCCCATGGCGTCGCGCCATGATGCGGGCTGCGGGATGGGCGGCCAATCGGGCAATCACCGCGACGCTGACTGCGAGCCGGGCACGGGCGCGCGCGGCGCCCCCTGCGATCATATCTCGCCTGTATATCCGCTTTTCGTCGCCGCCACTGCCGCGACGTTCTGGCGCGTTGATAACGCGGCCATTTTCGTAGAGGGTAACGCAATGCAGTAAAGACCACCAGTGGCGAATATGTGCCTCTGTGAAGCCCTGCTCGAAGAAATGGCTCGCATTGGATTCGTCGATCTCCGCGCGCGGGCCCTGGTCGTCGCAAGAAAGAAGCGCGCCCCTTACCAGATGCGCGGCTGCGGCCACGGCCAGGGCCTCCCGCGCCTGGGCAATGTTATCCAGCTGCACCTGGCACGCCTGATGCGCGGTGGACCGCCGGGCCGCGGCCACGGCGACTGCCCCCCATGTCGCCCTCTCAGGGGCCGCCCGAGCCGATTGGGGCCTTCTCCAACTCACCACGCATCATGAATGCGCTGGCGCGGACACGCCCCCACCCCACTGCGGCCAGCCCCTCCACCGCGAGTCCGAAGACCGTCGGGGCCGGGAGCGGGCGGGGCCGCGCCTGCTCGTGCCCGAGCTGTTCTATTATTTCAGCGTCCGTAGCGGGCGGGCATTGCCCTCGCGTCGGACGCGCAGTCGTCTTCGTCGTCGTTCTCGTCGGAGTCCCCCTGCGCGCGCCCGCGCCAGCGCGCCGCCGACGCAGTCCTCGAGGGGGGCGCCGCGAAGCTCTTCGACCCCGTCGCAGAGGCACTCGGCACAGCGCTCCACCGACATGGCAGCGCTGGCAAAGTTGGCCAGCAACAACCAAGCAACACTGGCTCGGGAGTGAAAGGGCGGTCGCTTTCTGGAAAACCAGCGCGCCCAATAATATCCGCTGCGGAATGCTCTGAGCCAAGAAGCGCGGATCCGCCCCCTGTCCCACCTCCCTCGGGGCATTGCGCTTGGAAGTGTTCGTAGCCCACGCAGGCGCTGCACGTCATCCCCCCCCCCCCCCCCCCCCCATCCTTGCCCATTGGATCGAGCCTGCGCCCGTTGCCCTTACATGTTGCACGCCTGCGACGTTCACCTCTACCTCTACCTCCTAGGAACAGGTCTTCAAAGCCGCAGTCGATCAATTGAGCCAGGAACGCGGCTACGCCTGCACCGTGCAATCTGCGGGCGCGCCCACCACCTTTGCCGCGACCCTTTCTCCGCGGAAGAAGACGCGACGCACAGCTCGACTGAACCTCGTAACTGTTTTTTTTGTTTTTTTCATGCGTCGCCTCAACCTTCTTGCGGCGTGACGATAGCCCAGGCGCAAGTATTGTGCAGCTGCGTCATCACGGGCGGGCAGGTCTGAACAGTCGAGGTTTTCGGCGCCGGTAGAGGTCGCCGCATCGGCATCCACACCGAAATCGAATACGTCGCCATCTCGTTGGGTGGGTGAGCCCCAGATGGCAGTCGCGTCAGGTGGTGCGTCGCTAGCCGCTGACGGCCAGCCCATGTTTGAGCCAGACGCATGCTCGTCGTTGTTGCGGGCGTCTTGGCCTGGGAGCGTCGTGGACTCAGTGGGCTCTCTGTGATTCCGGATTATGTTCGGCATGGCTGCCGGTGCGTCGCTGCGCTGCGTCCGCTGAAGATGCTCCCGATGTTCCCTGGGGAATCCTCAGACAAGTGTCCATGGCTGCGCATTCGCTCCAGAAGTTGGTCGTGCTGTTGTTGAGTACGTGGTATACAGTGCGGGCGCGGCCGCAAGAAACCCTCGCAAGAAACCCAACCCTGAAAACCCGCGCGCGAGGTGCACCTGAGGAGAACCTGAGCACCCTGAACGTAGCCGCTCCTTCCCCGGCTGCGGGAAGCCACCGCGCGGCGCGCGGCGCGCGGAGCGAAGAAACCCAGGATACCCCGACGAAAAGTAGATGGTTTCTTGATGCGCGCCCCCACTGCATGTTGGTTCAGCGGTTGCAGTAGTTGGGGTGCTCGGGAGGTACCAACCCCCACGCACGAAATAAGTTCAGGGTAAGGATCTGGAAGTTGGCTATGTTGACGCCTGCTGAATCTGCTCCCAACTTGGCCGTCTCGAACAGGGCCAGCACTGAGTCGATACGCTAACCTCTGTCGGCTCTGAAATCGATGAGGCTTGTCCCTGATTTGAGCTGTCGCTCGTCCTAAAGGTTTACAACTTGGGTCTTAGTATGTGACTTCATCGGTGCGTCCCCCCTGCAATGTGACACCGTAATTGATGATGTTGGATGGCACCCTCATGGTTAGTGTCCTAGCCAATCCCCCTTAGCCGCACTGTAAAGCAGCTGCCTGTTGGGGTGGAGTCCTACTTCCGCTCGCGACGTTAAGCCGTGCGTGTACATCGCGAACAAAGCTGCGGAAGGGTGCGTTACCTGCAGGGTCCATGAAGGGCCCCCGAATGCGCGTTTTATCCAGTCTCCTCCTCTCACGCATGCCACGACGAGGCCCTGCACACCCAGATAATTCCAATGATCGCAACCGTAACATAATGCATGGTCAAGATGTAGCTGGTGATGTTAGGTCGCATGCCATTGGATACTGAGGCATACGTAGAGTTGCGACTGGATGTCTGGTTTGACGCGGCCGTCAGTTTGCGGATAGATCTCGGTGTTTGGGTCGTGCGCGGCGTGCGGCCACGCGGTGGGGAGATGGAGGTATAGGACTGTAAGTTACCAGCTGGTTCGAGAGCATCGGGACTGTTGTGGCTGAGCTGGCGCAGTCGGATACTCCACTGTGCCGTAGTACGTTGGTATGTACATAACACCCGATGTAAGAGCCAACCACATGAAGATGTAGCCAGCTCCGCTACCAAGTGGATAGTAAGGGTGCAGGGCTTGACCCATGGGTAATAAGCTGGGAACCCTACTCTTAGGATAACGTCGGCGACGTCTCGAAGTATCCCACAAATCATCCCACGATGGTAAGCAAGGCGAGAGACAAGACAGAAACCATGGGGATCGGTAGATGGATCCTAGAAAAACGTGGCCCTTGTCCGCTGTTACGGTCCGCAAATAAAGTCACACATTTGTGTAACTGGCAAATGGGACAGCGCTGCCTTGAGCCAAACCAGCGTCGGATATAGCGTTCGCTATACAGCCTCTCCTGAAACCTCGTTTACATGTGGTTACTCTTTGATTATGCTGGTTGGTGCCTTCGGCAGCCGGGATGCAGTGGCGTACAGCGGCGGCCAGTCCGCCAGAAACCTTCCACAAGAAACCCAACCCTGAGACCCCAAAACGTCCACTGCTTTTCATTCGCAAAACCATCGGCACTCAAGAAACCCAGGGGCACCCTGGAGGCGAGCAGGGTGTTTCTTGGCATGGGCCTCCACTGCAAGGTCAACACCATGATCGTTCCACGAGTTCAGCCTGGTCTGGGTCCTGGGACCGTCGAATGCAAATCTGGATGGAAAACCTGCCCCGGTAAAGGAGGGCGGACACCTGGGGGCCCCGCATGGAAGAAGCACAGCCTCCCTGCGAGACGTGGAAGGCACGGCGGCGGGACGGGCACGAAGAATCTCGATGACACGTCGTGTGTTCGGCAAGGCCCCCGTCAAACACACCGACGGCCTGCCGGCCACGTCGCGCGCGGCACGATGCGCGAAGCTGCTGCTCCTCCTGGCGGAGATTGCCGACCCGCGGCCGTCTTGTCTTACAGCCATCGTGCGGCCACAGGGAGCACCAAGGGAGGAACGAAGGGGCGTTCCTCACCAGGGCAAGCCTCGACCACGGAGAGGTTCCCCGACCTGGGTCCCAGGAATGGCCCGAAAGCCAGGGCCCCTCGTCGTCCTCGTCGTCATCGTGGTCTTCGTCGTCGTCGTCCTCGTCCTCGTCCTCGTCCTCGTCCTCGTCGTCCTCGTTCTCGTCGTCGTCGTCGCCGCCTTGCGCTCCGCGCTTGCCCGCGCACCCGCGCCTTCTTCCAGCGTCTTTGACTGCACGCGTGGCTTCCAGCAGCAACCCGAGAAGCTGGAAGATCGAGCGGCTCACTGACGCAATGAGATCATGCTCGCAGCATCGCGGCGTCACGGTGCGTCGGCGCGGCGCGCGCAGCGGCATTGGGCGTCTCGGGCGCCCCAGGCTGATGATGGCGACGACGCCGACGCCCACGGTCACTTTGCTGATGACACTGAGGGCGACTGTCATAGCCTACGACGGCGCCAAAACCAAGACGGCGGCGACGACGATGGAAATTATGAGGATCACGAACACGATCGACAATGTGGTAACAACTGCAACCGATGACGTCGTCCTCTGATGATGGCCCCGTGAGCTCCCGCTCAGCGAGGTGTCGGTATGGTACTGCACGGTACGGGGTAGAAATTGCAGTGCGGTAGGGTGCAGCTCGATGTGGCATGACGAGGTGTGATACATGTCCAACATTCACACACACACACACATAAGCTGCCATGCCAAGTCCAACTTGCTGGACCAGGAAGACCTCGAACGCCTTCATGGAAACTCCAAACTATCATTCCGCCTTGACCTCCAGGGAGAGATGCCCAGAATGAATTTCTGTTAGACGTCAATTGACCCGGGTCACCGCGATATCCAGAGGCCGTGTATGGAGTTAAAGCCTCCCGATTAATTTGTGCATGGCGTTAAGGCGCAGGTACAAACCCGTGCCGGAAACTGCTGGCCCGGGAGGTGGGGCCTTCCTACCAACAAGAAAGATGGGACGCGTGGACGTACTAGCTAGTGCCGGCGAAATCCAACACCGCCCAATGCTGCGGTGAGCGTGAGCCAAGCCCATTCTCGGGCCGGGCGAAAGGGGGGGATAGCGAAGGGGGGGGTGAGAATCAGCTCACGTAACTGATTTTGGGGGCGCCTCCAGGCGCCGGAGGCGGCCATGTGTCGAGGAATGGGCCCCTTGGTGGGGCCGAGACCAGCTGCATGCAGCAGATTTCGCAACCCCCCCTTTCCCCATCCCCCCTTTCGTCCGGCCCGACATTCGGTTCTGCATCTCGTGCACACAGCTCCTCAAGGGAACCAAGAGCCAAGGAAGAAGCACGAACGCGTGCGCACCACAAGTCCTCACGTCGTGTGCTCTCCCGCCACGTTTGAAGGGGCCCTGGGACACACAAATAAATAGACACAAATAGCAGGATGTCCCATATATCCCCATCTTTCCTGGGTTTTTGTCTTGCCTCCCACTTCCCATATTTTCATTTTTTCTGGGGAATCGACGAGTAATTGCGTCTGTGTAACTTTTGATCCCCTCCTGAACATTGTCGCCCACTGCACGAGATGTGCGGGCGGGGAGCGGCCCCACGCAGACTGCCTGCCTCCGGGGGGCCGCGTTGTCCAGGCCCCTGCACACGCATGGCCCCGGGACGAAGGGCCGCCCTCGGGGAGGGCGCCGGGGCCTCCTGGAGCCCGCCGGCCAGGCAGGAACCCATCCGTCGAACATCTGGGCTATCTGGGGCCCAGGCTTATCAGGGGGCCACACGCGAACCCGACCTCCTACCCCCCACGATTTCTGAGAGGGAGGGGTGGGGCTCACTCGTGAGATCTCAAAGATCGTGGGGGGGCAGGGGCAGGGTTCGCATGTGGTCCCCTGCTTATGCTGCTCCCATCGTACTTAAGGACCACATCCCAGAAAAGACTTCGAGCACCCAGAAAAGTATTGAAACGGTGTCGAACGAATATCGCCTCCCAGGGCCCGACACGTCAAAACCCTCCAGCTTCGGTATTTTCTAGGTGCTCGAAATTCTTTCTGGTGATCAAGGCCAAAGTTGGTTGGAACATCATAAGCCAGGCCCAGGGACGGCAACAAGAACGGCTCGGGGCAAAAGCCGGCCCCCCCAGGAAGGGGTCGGGGGGTCTGTGGGAGAGCACAGGCCACTCTTCCCAGGGAGGCCCGGGTGGCGTCCAGAGAGCACTCCCCACGAGGCCTGGAGGGCACCAGGATGTCCGAGCTGGCGCGGAACGCTGGGGGCACCTTTGGGCCGGTACAGTCGATGCGAAAAAAATGGATGCGCGGTAAGGATGCGGAGGCCTTGGAAAGCCATGTTGACGTTTCTCGAGCGGGACTGGCCAGCGAAAGTTACCAAGGAAAAGCCGAATCGGAAGGATGCAAGGGTAAGCTTGGAAAGTTGCTCCTCCTCACGATGCGCGTTGACTGTATCACCTGCCCCCCCGGGGCCATCCCAATCCTCCAACGTCTAGAAAAAAACTCACGACGGACGCTTTTCGCAAATGTCGGCCTCCGGGGGCCGTCGGAGAAGTGCCCTGAGTAAAAACATGTTCCGAATGAGAGGCTCGGGAGGTCGGCTGGAAGAAATTAGGGAACCGAACTCTATACACCGATGCGTTTTGCGGCACTGCACTGAAATTTGCACAGGAAAGCGGATCCTGGTGTATACGGGATCCTGGTGTATACGTCTTGAGTTGTCTCCCCGGGAAAACGGGGAAACAAGTATACACCACACCACCCCGACGTCGTCCCCGACCCTCTGAAAGTCCTGGGATTGAAAAACCGCCCACCACTGGTCATGTATATGTGCTGGTGTCCGAGGAGTCACGCCGCCAGAGATCTGACCCCCTGGCCTTCTCTGGCGGCCGCGGCGCGCCCCCGCGGGGGGGAAGGCCGCGAGAGGGCACGCCTCCTCCGAAAGCGAAGGACGGCCTCTGAACAGCCCCGCCGCCTTTCTGAGCAGGCCCGCCCCCCTTCCGAGAAGCCTCTCGAGAAGGCCCGCCGCACTCGGACGAGGCCCCGCCCCTTCCGAGACGGCGGGAGGGCCTCTGAGAAGCCCCGCCACCTTCCGAGAGGGCCCGCCCCACCTGCCTCCCCCCCCCGCTGGGAGAGCGGGCGCCGTGCAGAACCCGTGGATCCCCCCGCCGCCCCTGGGCGAACGAATGATAAGAGGGACCCGAGAAACATGGGATGTCGGAGGCCTGGAACTGGGCAACAATACCAAGACAGGGGGCTGCCTCCACAGGGGGGAGATGACCCTAGATTTCGGTGCTGGTGGTAATGTTTCGGTCACCTTGCAAGCCTGAATATGACCACCAGCACCGAGATCGGGATCTTCTTCCCTCGGTTGAGGAACGCCGCCGATATTGGTGTTGGTGTCAACCTCTAGGCCTGCAAGGATGTGTCGACCCCTATCCCAGGCTTTGGGAGGTCCTCGGATGGACCAGACATTCAGGACACAACCCCGGGATGTGCGATGGGGGGGGCGTCTACCCTCGCTGGGGGTGCGTCCGAATGGCCCCCGTGGGGTGTATCCCAGGGTTTCTCCAGTGTTCTCTGAACGGCCAAACTTTTCGGGCGGAACTCGGGGATCGGGGAAGAACCTTCGCCTGCGAAAAGAACGAGCGAAGGAGAAGCGGATGAAGAAAAAGAACCGAAGCTGAACGCCGGCACGCGTACGACTTATAAAGAGATCGCGTGAGCGGAACCCTCTTGCTCCGAGATTTCAAAACAACTCAAGCTTCGGAGAGCGAGAGGCAACGTATGGCGTCGCGGCGGAACAATCATGCCACGCTACATCGGTGAGCCGCTGCAGCACTTGTAAACCCAAGCGTGGTGGCGGGAGTGCGCGGCAGCGCAACTAGATGTTCTTCTGGGCGCACTACCCGTCAAGGGTTGAACCGCTCCAGTTCCCCACGGCATCCGTCGGCTATAGGCCAGAGTGACCCTACGAACAAAACGACCTTTGCTGCGCGGCTTCAGGTGGCTGCGGAGAGGCCAAATCCAAGCGCGCATACCAGGTCTGGAGGAGGACGTGGAGGAGGGAGGGAGGAGGGAGGAGGGAGGGATGAGAGAGGGAGGAGAGAGGGAGGAGGGAGGAGGGAGGAGGAGGAGGAGGAGGAGGAGGAGGAGGAGGAACCCCTGTGGGCCCGCACTAAAGGGCACTCCGGCGAAGAGTCACTCTTACGCGTAGCCGAATATGTGCCTGCTACTGCTTCCGCCGCCGGCGCAGCCCTTGCTGCTACGACTGCCACCGCGTCAGTCCCGGGCGGGCTCAAGCCCACTATGCGCGAGCATTGGCGCAGTTGAATTAGCCTGGGACTGGCCGTGATTGGCATGGCATCGACATTGATTACTCCGATCGTTGCCCTCCTTGGCGAGAAGAAGCTGTACACCTACCCCACTCTCCTGTCCTCCAGCCGCCCCCCACTGGTGTTCAGAAGCCCGCGATAAGAATGCAATGTGAGGGCGCAAGGCCCTTGCAGTTCCATGTTGAAATAACTTCAGCGGCATACGTCCAGCCAGCATCAGGTAAGGGTGGGCCGAAAAGGCAAGGATGTAAAAGTGAGCACTGCGGCAGCACCACGGGGTCGGAGTGCATCCCCTCTCCACTCTCCCCCCCCTCCACTCCCTCCGCCCAGGACGACGGGATCAGTGCCTCACTGTTGGCCCTCGGCGCCTTCCATTCTCTCAGATCCCTCACACATCGGCATGTCGCCAAAAGCCTGCCATGTCGCGCTGCGGGCAAACGGGCTGCACCTGGAACGGCGCCGACTACTACAACGAGACCTATTCTCTAAGCAGGCCGCGCGGGGGGGGGGCGCGGCGGCTGGCCGCCCCCTCCGTCGACCCGGCGAGAGATTCGAGTGGCCTGGCCCGGTCGCCCACAAGCGGGAGGACACCAGCTGCAGTCCTACGCCGACCCTGGCCAGGCCCGTCGTGCGTAGGCCCAGGAGTGGTGTGTTCTTTTGAGCGTGGCGTAATGGGGGGGTCGGAAACGATCCCATTTCCTGCCCTTTTCAGGCCCCTCATGAGCCCCAGGGGGCTCGTTTAGGTACCGTTTGGGTACCTTTTCGGACCACCCTCGCCACCCCCCATTTAGGACCCCCCCCCATTGCGCGACGCCTAATTCTTGCTCCTTAGTGGCCCAGCCGGGAAGGCGTACACGCCTATCCTGGGCCCGATCCTGTCCTGGTCGGGATCGGTCCTGGCTGCGCACGCAGGTCAGGATCGGTCCTGGCAGGGTCGCGTCCTGGTCGGGGCCGGTCCCGTCCTGGCCAGGATCGGCCCGCACAGAATGAGGGCGAGCAGCAGTACAGAGGCGGTGGACAAACCTCCCTTTAGTAACCATCCCTGTAGTGAAAACGATCCTAGGACCGAACCCGACGGACCTGGACCCGCAAAAATGACGGCCGCGACGCCCTCTCGCGAACCGAAAACGGCCAATTCGCTAATCGACATGTCAGAGTAGGAGGTCTGTCCACCCCCGAGGTATAAGCATAAACTGCCGGAGGTCCGCACGGATTTCTTGAGTCGGCCCTGGAGCATCCTCCCCACGCCCTCCCTGGCGCGCGGAGCGCGCAGGCATGGCGCGGGAGGCGCCGCCGCGGGTGCAAGAAGGGAGAGGAAGAGGAGGAGGAGGAGGAGGAGGAGGAGGAAGAGGAGGAGGAGCAGGAGGAGGAAATCCGCGCGGCCCTCCCACAGTGGATGCTCATGTCCTCTCTGCTGCTTCTGAGGCCTTCGCGGGGGGGACGTCAACCGACCACATCACCGATCCTGCTTGGCCCACGATGGGTGTGCGCCCCTCCCAGGCCAAGCGGGACGCGCGTGCGCGCCGATCCTGGGCACAGCCAGGATCGGTGAAGCGGTCAAGGACTGACCAACTACCAGACCGCCCCAACCCAATCCGAAGACCCGGATTTCGAGTTGCGGGGGGGTGGGGGGTACGGGCCCCAGATGTGTTTTTTCAATGTTCCCCGACCCCCCCCTCTGAAAATGGAGGGCAAATCGGGGCCTTCGGGTTGGGTCGGGGTGGCTTGGTTAGCGGTGAGTGACGTCCCCTGATCGCTGGCACCTCCCGATCAAGGTTCGCAGGGTGCGTGCAAAATCTCTCAATTCCAAACAACGACTTGGTGCCATGCCTCTGGGCGCGGCGCACCACTGGCATAGCCAGGGTGAGCACCGCGGGAGGGCTGCCAGAGCCGCGAGCGATGGCGAGATCCTTCTGCCTCCTCCTCCTCCTCCTCCTCCTCCTCCTCCTCCTCCTCCTCCTCCTCCTCCTCCTCCTCCTCCTCCCCCCGTAGCCATTTTGGCCCAAGACGGAGCTTACCTCCCGTCCCGACCCTTGAGGCTCGAGGTCGAGGTCACAGGGCAGCCTCTACTGCAGGCCTGGCTGTCACGGCAGCCCACCCCTTACTTACGTTTCGGACGCCGCCGTTGCCGAGGTGACAAGCTCCTGCGGTACGCCTTCCTGCTCTGGTTTGTGCGGCCATGGCGCCTCGGCGTACGGAACGAGCATCAAGCTCAGCGAGAAGCTACGCGGACTGCCCGCACCCATCATGCGGGGAATGGCCCTGGACAGGTCTACAGCACAAGCACTGTGGCAAATGTGGTGCGAACTTCAACGGTACGCAGCAGAAGCAGTGCCAGCCAACCCGTCGGCGTTTCGACACTGGGCGGAAAGGGGGGGAGGGGGGGGTCTGGCTTCGGACCTCTGCTTAGCGCGACTGTTTGCAACAGTGCGTCCTACGGGGGAGGGCCCCCCCCACCTGCTCGAAACAAGCGCCTAAAACAGCCGAGATCTCCTCCACGAGGGGGGGGAGGGGGGTGCGAGGGCCCGCGCCGATCGACAAGAAAAGGAAGAAGAAAACAATCATCACCCACTACCAGGCTGCGGTCGATGAGCTCAAGCTGGCGAATTCGCAAGCCCCTGCGACCAAGTCGCCTGGCCAGCATACCCAGGGCTTATCGGCTCAGCTTGCAGTTCAGAGATTTCGTCTCGAGAGAAAGCAAATTGATGTCGCATGGTAACTCGAGGAGATCGACAAGCACACCCAGAAATACGAGCTCGTGGCCGAGGAGCGCACCGACATGATCAAGGAGATACAGCGGCTGGAAAGCCCGCGCAATGTCGCAATCCAACCAGCAGCAATCCAAGCCGCGGGCGCTCCTGCTCCGGCTCCAGCTCAGCCGCCAATCGACTTGGCCAACTCCACGCTGGAGGGTGTGGTCAAGAAGAAGCTGTCAGAGGGCGCGCAGATCAGCCAAGACATCCAGAACCAGATCCACGAGACGGACGCCAAGCTCAACGCCGAGTACCAGAGGTTCCAAACGCAATGCCATCCTGCAGGCGTTCCAGGCGATGCTGCGTCGAGACCAACTCCAGAAGCGAGAGACCCTGCGCCAGAAGCCGCATCCGCACCAATCAATAACTCTGGTGGGTCACCTTCGCATCATGACCGTTACCAGAAGTTGTTGGGGTAGCGTAGGGACTGTCGTCCAACCCGACCAGGCGATGGATGTCAGTGTGTTTTGTTGCCAGGAGGTCAAGCTTTTGGAATACTAAATCACTGATGCCACCAAGTGGTGATCCAGAGGGAGGCGACATGCTCTTGTCAACGTGGGGGGTCGAAGTGACTGCGGTGTAATCATGCACGGGGCCATAGATTTGATCAGAGAAGGTTCCGATGTTGGAATCGCATCTGTCCGAAAGTGGGAGCTACAGAAGTAGCTCTGGAGGTGCCAAGCATCGCCACGATCTCCCTGTGCTGAGCGCACCTGGCCGACGGAGTCGGCCTCAATGATTTCGGCTTTACCGTCCTCGCCAGCATTGCCAAGCCCGGCCAATTGAATCGCACGCCCCTCATCGTCGAAGGGGATTTCAACCTCTCACCCGCCAAGTTCAGCAGGAGTAACCACTGAGCGAGGGCAGGCATGTGTTCGCTCTCTCCTGCTGCCCCGACGCCCTGTACCAAGAACTCTAGGAGCACGATCGGTATTCTTCGCCTCCCGCTGCGCCTCCAAAACTACGCTAAAAAACGGCATAAACATAGGCTTTGGGCGGTCCGCGCGGATTTCTTGGATCCGCGCTGGGCCCCCCCCCTCCCTGGCGCGCAGAGCGCGCCAGGGGCGGCGCCGGAGGCTCCGCCGGGGGGGAGGGGTGCCCAGCGCGGATCCAAGAGATCCGCGCGGAGAGCCAAGCTTTTTCGATCTAAAGGAGTAACTTCTAAGACCCCATATGATAGGAGTAGCGTTTTTTCTAATGTCTAATGGAGTCACTTCTGAAGAAGTATGTTCTAACTTCTAATGCAGTGTGTTCTTCTTCGGCCAAATCGAATAACGTCTCCCTTGTATTTCGACCTCACCATAGGTGAACCCCACCTGGTGCACGTCCTTGCGAAGCCCTCCAAGTTGGCTACGAGCGCCCCCTACGGACCCCGAGCTTGCACAGAGGCCTGGACTGGAACAGAAGCCGCCCTAGACCAAATGTCATGTTCTTGACTGGCTACCTACCAAACCGCCCCAAGCCAACCCGAAGACCCGAATTTGACATGAATTTCGGGCTGGGGGGTGCCGTTAGGTTTCAGCGACAAGGGTGCCGAGGACTTTAGGGAAGGTTCATTTCATGGAAGGCCATCTCAGTTTCTTTATGTTCTGGCTAGCATCTTGCGCAAGCTTCGGCTCTGCGGCGGGGCGGCGCTGCTGCGCGCGGGCCCAGGTCGCGTCGCCAGGCGCCCCCTCGGAGGTCAGGACAAAGAAGGATTCACGCGGAAGCTGCGTGCCACTCGGAGTCAGCGCGCAAGGCTCAAGGCCCCGGTGAAGCCTTTGATGAGGCGGGAGGTGTGCTCGGTGTGCTTCCCCGACAAGGCTTTGAGGCGCCCGTCAGGTTTGTGATGCTCGCGCAGCGTTCAAGCGAGTTGCGCAGACAGCAGGCACAGCCACCCACCATGTCGTTATCATCTTCTCACATCGCTAGTTATATATATACATATATATATACACATATATATGTAAAAGTGTGTGTGTGTGTGCATATATATATATACATATATACATCCTGCGCCTTCTCATTATGTTGCACGCTTTCAGGTGCCCAGCTCTTCTGTGAGCCTTCAGAGATACGGCATGCGCTCAGAAATGCGTAAACATGGTGTGTCACGGCAGCCAGTTCTACTTAGTCAGCGTGGCTAAGCAAGGCGAGCTACCTCAAGCAGTGGACAGATTTCTCGCGCCTGGCGCCATTGGCAGATCCCAGGTGAGTGTTTTTATTCGGCGTTTCGACATTGGGCGGAAGGGGGGGGAGGGGGGGTGGATCTGGCTCTGGACCTCTGCTTAGAGTGACTGCTTGCAGCAGTGCGTCCATCATGGCAGAGGCCCCGCCTACTGGAAACAGGCGCCGAAAAACAGCCAAGAGTCACTCCATGGGGGGGAGAGGGGTTTGCGAGGGCCCGCGCCGATCGGCAAAACGCTCAATAAAAAAGATCACCAGGCGAGCTACTTCAAACAATGAACAGATTTCTCGCGCCTGGCGCCATCGTCAGACCCCAGGCAGAGCCGACGCCACAGCGATGACCACCCTCGACTCTCAGCGGGCAGCAGAGGCCAATATTCACGCGGGCGGACTCCAGGCTCCACACGAAGAGTCGCCCCCTAAAAGCGCAGGCACCCAGATCAAGGGCAGTCTTGGTCCATAGAATTCGCCAACCCAGTCACCCTCCCCATGTTTACTCTTGCGGCGCAGATGGCGCTCGGGGAAGGGGAAGAGAGCAGCAGCAGCAGCAGCAGCAGCAGCAGCAGCAGCCAGTAATCTTCTGCAGCTGTTTCAACGCGCGACAGACATCCCGACACCTGCAGTCAGATGTGATAGTCCTCCTCCTCCTCATTGTCCTTCTCATCCTGCTCCTCCTCCCTCCTACTTCCAACTGCCTGTTGTTTCTCCTCCTCCTACTTCTCCTCCTGCCTGCTGCTCCATGTCCTCCTTCACCGCCTCCTCCATCACCGATCTCCCCCTACCTCCTCCTCTCCTCCTCCTCTGCTCCCGTCCTCCTCTGGCGCTCCCCCTGGATCACGGGTCCTCGATGCACTCTGCCTTATCCGTGCCTCATCCTCCTCCTCCGCGAGGATTCCGAGCCTCGCTATCTCTCCGAAGCACTGGCTGCCCGGAGGAGGATGGCGGGCGTGCAGAGGCGGGCTTCGCCGCCTCGCTCGACTACATCGACTACTGCTCTCTGTGGGAGGGCGCGGCGCAAGGAGCGCACCTCATGGCCGAGAAACTTCTGCTCCCCCATCCTCCGACACATCCACTCCACCGCCTGGTCAGCCTCTTCCTCAGCATCCTCATCATCGGCATCATCATCATCATCATCATCATCATCATCATCATCATCATCATCATCATCATCATCATCATCATCATCATCATCATCATCATCATCATCATCATCATCATCATCATCATCATCAGCATCAGCATCATCAGCATCATCAGCATCAGCATCATCATCATCATCATCATCATCATCAGCATCATCATCATCATCATCATCATCATCATCATCATCATCATCATCATCATCATCATCATCATCATCATCATCATATGCAGCAGCATCAGCATCAACAGCATCACCATCAGCAGCAGCAGCACCATCACCATCAACATCACCATCAGCAACATCATCATCGTCATCATCTTCAGCGCCATCATCATCAATGTGGTAATCATCGTCAACATCCTCCTCATCATCATCATCATCATCATCATCATCATCATCGTCATCATCACCATCAACGTCATCTTTCGCATTACAACCATCAGAATCGGTAGCATCATCGATATCACCGTCACCGTCATTTCAATTCATCATCAGCATCATCCACATCATCATCCTCGTCCTCATCGTCATGAGTATCCGCTTTATCGCCATCATCATGATCATCATCATCAGCAGCAGCAACATCATCATCAGCATCAGCAGCATCATCATCAGCAGCAGCAGCATCAGCATCAGCATAAGCACTACCAGCAGCAGCATCATCCATCATCAGCATCATCAGCATCAGCATCGCCATCACCATCACCATCATCATCACCATCATCTTCATCATCATCATCATCATCATCATCGGCGTCTCCATCAACATCGTCATCGTCATCATCATGATCAGCATCGTCATACGCAGTAGCATCATCATACTCATCGTATCGTCATCATCATCACCATCATCGTCAGCATCATGATCATCATCATCAGCATCAACATCATCAACAACATCAGCGTCGTAATCGTCAACATCATCAGGATTGCCATCGTTCTCGTCATCCCTGTCGTGATTGACAACATCGAACAGCGACAACATCACTAGCACCATGCTCATCACGTCATCACCATCATAATCATCATCATCATCATCATCATCATCATCATCATCATCATCATCATCATCATCATCATCATCATCATCAAAAACATCGTCATCGCCATCGTCGTCGCATGTGGCATGATCCTTATCACCAGTAGCATCTCCAGCAGCAACATCATCATCAGCATCGTCAACGTCATCGTCATCGGTGTCATCATCAGTGTACGCATGATCATCAACATCCTCCTCCTCCTCATCGTCATCATCATCGTCACCATCAGCATCGTCGTCGTCGGCATCACCATCAGATCCACCATCGTCAGTTCGTATATGTTATCATCCTATGAGTCCCTGTCATCTGTCATCCGTTTCCTCAACATAATCCTGCTACTCCTCCTGCTCGTGATCCTCCTCCTCCTCCTCATTCCCCCTCTCCTGCTTCTCCTCCTACTTTTTCTGCTTCTTCTTCTCATCCCTCCTCGAGCTTCGAAATGGCGAGACTGCCGGTGGAAGACTGGGAGCGGGAGCATTTCGTGAACTTGCTTTCGATTGTCTGCGTGGCCGATCAGATCAGAACTGTGGTTGTTGGCACACATCGGTGTCTTGGAGGTCTGTGATTAAAAGCCTCTTGTGCGACTGGCTGGACGGCTGGAAGCAGCATCACCTGCGTAGTCATCGAGGACCGCATTGGACCCAACGCAAACTGCATATTCAGGACACGTCGGGGACGTTTGTGTGCCTTTTGTGGCGAAGAAGGAGGATCCCTGCATTGGAGGTGTTTCAGGTGCCATAACCACGAGGCCTTGAGCGTGAAAACGTCTTGCTTGAGCTCGTCAAGGCCGCTGCGATGGTCGGTCGTGCTCCCCCAGCTTGGCGCGAAAGACTCGCTCGCGGACATTTTTCTGAGCCTGGTGTGCGTATGTACTCTTGACATCCCTTCGATCCAAGCTGGGATCTCCAAGGGGTCTGGGCTGCCGAGGCTGAGAGAAGGCACGACGCAGCTGGACGCTTCGCAGCGCGATTGAACTTCTCTCCGGCAGCGTAGCGTGATCCAGGCTCTTCTCGCTGGCACGGACGAGACGTTGGCTTCCTTCCTTAAGTGATTGGGTGATCAGATGATGTGGTTGGCAGTCGCGAGCCTCGTGTGCTGTCTTAAGTGCGAGGCTGTGTGAGCGAATAGCCACACCCAATCTTTTCGACGGCCTGCAGCTTTGCAGCGGGGCAGTGGCTCCGCGAGCTGATGGATGTACGCGGCTGGGTCCAGCCTGAAGACCTGGTGCTTGGGCGGCTGTGGTGTCGGCGGGTTGCCGTCGTTGAGGCGTCTGCGGGAAGCGTGAGATTCTGTCCCCGCAGAGTCGGCGAGCCTCCTGAGGCATGGCCTGGGCAGCCTTGCCTGCCTGAGATGCTCTGTGTCCCTCGTTGCCGCCGCGGTAGGCCGTGGCTGGTTCGGTGAGGCCGCGAGGCAGAGCCAATTTGGTCTCGCCGTGACTCCACTAGTCCACGCACACAGAACTGGCGCGCGACCTTGCTGGCGCATCTGAGCCTCGTGTCCCTGCTTCCTTGTTCTCCCTCCTCCTGCTCCCTGCATGCCTGCCGAGCCTCCCTCCCTCTCCCCCGCCTCCGCCTCCGCCTCCTCCTCCTCCTCCTCCTCCTCCTCCTCCTCCTCCTCCTCCTCCTCCTCCTTCTGCTCCTCCTCTTCCGCCTCCTCCTCCTGCTCCTCCCCCTCCTCCTCCTCCTCCTCCTCCTCCTCCTCCTCCTCCTCCTCCTCCTCCTCCTCCTCCTCTCCCTCCCCCTCCTCCTCCTCCTCCTCCTCCTCCTCCTCCTCTTCAGCAGCAGCAGCAGCAGCAGCAGCATCATCATCATCATCATCATCAGCATCATCATCATCATCATCAGCAGCAGCAGCATCATCATCATCATCAGGAGCAGCATCATCAGCATCATCAGCGTCATCAGCATCATCATCATCATCATCATCAGCAGCAGCAGCATCATCATCATCATCAGCAGCAGCAGCAGCATCATCAGCATTAGCAGCATCAGCAGCATCAGCATCAGCATCAGCAGCAGCAGCATATTCAGCATCAGCATCAGCATCAGCATCAGCAGCTGCATCTGCATCAGCATCATCATCATCAGCAGCAGCCGCATCATCACCACCGCCACCATCATCGTCATCATCAGCAGCAGCATCAGCAGCAGCATCATCATCATCAGCATGATTATCATCACCAGCATCATCATCAGCAGCATCAGCATCAGCATCAGCATCATCAAGATCATCATCATCATCATCATCATCATCATCATCAACATCCACATCATAAGCAGCATATCATCAGCAGCATCATCATCACCATCAGCATCATCATCACAATCATCATCAGCAGCATCATCATCGTCGTCAGCATCAGCATTATCAGCATCATCGTAATCAGCATCAGCATCATCATCTTCACCATCTTCATCATCATCGTCATCATCATCAGTTTCATCATCAGCGGCAGCATCATCATCAGCATCATCAGCATCAGTATTATCATCAGAATCATCATAAACATCATAATCATCAGTAGCAGCATCATCAGCAGCATCATGCTCGTCATCATCATCATCATCATCACCACCACCATCATCATGATCATCATCATCAGCAGCATCATCAGCATCATCATCCTCCCCCTTCCCCTCCTCCTCCTCCTCCTCGTTCTCCTTCCACTTCTCGCCCATCATGAGAGTTCGAGAACAGACACCCCGAGGGTCCGCCCGGGCCCGCTCTGCCCACAACATCGTGTGCGCACGGGCCCTGAGCGACACTGGGAGGGTGCCCGAGAGTCCAGGAGGCCAGAAGCGCTGGTGGCGAGAAGCTACGCTGAGGCACTAGAAACCTCCAAGATGCGATCCGAGTAAATGGGGTCGGAGGATCGTGCCGCATCGCCAATGCATCGGCGATGCATCGGCGACGTCGGCGATGCATCGGCGACGTCGGCGTGGGGAAAATCGGGCTCGGCATCGGGCCGCATCGCCGATGAATCGCCGATGCGGCGCGATCCTCCGACCCCATGTACTCCATCTACTCAGACCCCATCAAGGAGGCCTAGAGGCAGCACGGAGCAAGGAGGAACCCTCGGAGTTGGAGGAGGGTACAGGGCCAAGGCGCTCGAGAGGCTTCGAAAGTCTGGCCAGGACGCCCTCCAGGAGAGGTCCGGGGGTCGATTCTGAGTGGCGAAGAGGAGGAAGAGGAGGACTTGTGGTGTCGGTGTCGCTTCCCCAGGCGTCCGAAGTCATGCATTTTCGCGACGTGGGCCACTGGCCCAGGGACCCAATGTTCCTCCCACGCTGTTGCTCGGCGCCCAGGGGCACGAAACGGGCCTCTGGAGGCCCAAATCGAAGACGACATCATGTTCTTGTTTCGCGCCCCGTCCTGGGGACGGGCCTCTAGAGGCCGGGCCGTTTCGAAAGTCCCTTGGCCCAGCAAGGGGGTCCAAGGAAGCAAAAGAATACATCTGTAGTGTTCTTCTCCACGCGAGGGGGGCTGGGAAGGGGTGGGTTCTCCTTCCTCCGTGCAGAGCTGCTCTAGGCTGTAGCCTGCACGCGACGCCCAGGCAGAAGGCTCCGAGGCGAGTGCGTGAAGATCACACCACCGCGAGCTGCTCGGGGGAGTCCAGGCCGTCCTGGGGCGACGCCACACGTCCCCTCCTCCTCATTCTCTTCCTTATCCTCAGCCTCTGCCTCCTCCAAATGATTCTCTCATTTTGTTCGCCTCGGCGCGGATCCAAACTAAGATCGCCGATAAACTGCCTGATACCGCCGCCTACGAGCATGCCCAAGACTTCGATCGAACACCAGAGAGCACTCCTCACGCGCAACGAGCTCCGCTGTGAACGAAGCGATCCAGCCAGGAAACGCCAACTTCCTTGCCGATGAGATGCCCTCCCCACGCAGACCGCAAAACGATTGACTTTCGGTCGACGCCGCAGCAGAGCATCGACATGCCTACGTCCCGTAGCCGCACTGCATCATGAACAATGACGTTTTGTTGGGCCGTGCTCAGACAGGTCTGTACGGCAAAAGTTCGTGTCGTGTCGACTCCAGCGTTGGTTTCCGACACCGCGGGGATCGTTCAACCTTGAACGATCGGGCGTGTCCGAACTGTCAGCTCGTTCTACAGCTCCACGCCTACGCTGGCGGCGGGGTCGCCGCCAGTCGAAACGACGCGAACCTACCGTACGAAGACATTATTCCATGGCTGCTGAGAGCCCATCGTGACGTTGACAAGGTGGTCAACGGTTTTGTTGCCTGAGCGCTTCCGCCTTAAAATAGTGGATCACTGTGTGTCTGTGGAGGGTACAGCCCCTCAGCAACAAATTTGTTGAACTCCGACTCATGCGTCTGAAGACTGGCTGCATGATCATGTCATTGAGCGGGTAAGCCCCAAGAGCCTTTCCACCAGCGCAAACGATGACGAAGCTGCCACCGTAACTGTCCCACTCCGAAGGCTTTATGGATATAGGCATGACAAGCTGGAACACGTGTGAAGGAATGCACGATACGCTTCGAATGCTGCTCTTCCCACCGCATACCATTATGGTATGCAACGTTAGTTCCGAGATCGGGCGGCCCAAACTTTTTGCAGGCGTCGGAGGGGAAAGGCTCCGAGCTGGCACATCCATTTGGCCTGCGCGGGATGATCATCAGGGCAGCTCCATGAAGTTCGTGAAATGCGTCCTCCAAGTAGGTGTCAGGATCAGGAGATGCGCGCGCTTCTGTTGTAATCGTCGCCGCCAACACTCGCTCCCGCTGCGATGATGCTCAAGCGCTTCTCACTAGAACCTGCCAAGAACAACATCGCGCGTTGACTAGCAAAGAACGTGATCCGGCCAAGGGTACGTTATCTGTCTCTCTCTCTCTCTCTCTAGTCCCTCTCTCTCTCCTGTTCTCTCTCTCTCTCTCTTTCTGTCTCGCAGCCTCGCACACAGACACACACACACACACACACTCTCTCTATCTCTCTCTCCAAGCGCGCTTGCAGGCCACCCCGAAAACTGTCTGGCGACCACCCTGTGTGCGCCCCCCCCGGGCAAAAAAAACACCCTCACGGGGAAGAACATGGAGAACCGCAGGTGCAGAGAATGCCTCCTCCTCCTCCTCCTCCGCCTCCTCCTCCTCCTCCTCCTCCTCCTCCTCCTCCCCCTCCTCCTCCTCCTCCATCTCCTCCTCCTCCTCCTCCTGCTCCTCCTCCCCCTCCTCTTCGTCCTCCTCCCAAGAAGAGAACATGGAAGACGACGGCGAGCGGCGATGACGACGGCGGAGGCGGCGGGCACGGCGGCGCTCCT